CAACATGGAGCAGAGGTCATGTGATTTAAACGCAGCGGTGGCTGAACAATGAGGAAGCATCACTGTAGTTGCGTCCGGCCTCCCAATGGCACAAGTTCAGATTTCCAGCTTCGAAGCGACACTCCAGCCGGAATCCATGTTGAATTCTTACTCAGTTTATCTTCGAAATAGAGCTAACTACGAGTTGTATCTTCTATCAGTTCTTCTCAAGAGCCCTCAAATGTCTATCGGGTGATTTCCAGGAGATTGGAATCGCCAGCAGCGAGTGAGAGCCTACAGTTTGCTCGTTTCTATTCCCTGGTAGATTTGTTTTGCCTTAGCTTTGCAATACCTCCAAATACTTTCTCAACGTTTTGGCTATGCAGACCAGACTTTCTACGTGGGGGGCCTTTGTTGGGTCATATTAAAAGCAGAACTGGGTTTTTCCACGTTTGTCTCAGGAGGCAGTGGAGAGTCACTTCGCAATGGAAAAAGCCACGGGACCTCGAAGGAGGCTATCAGAAAGATTCTATTTCTTAAAATCCCTCACATCTTGGCGCAGCCATTACGACGCAGGTCAACCCATGGGAATGCTTCTAAAGGGTAATGAAGTCTGCATACATGCTATGTGCATGAATGCCGTAGAAAATCGCACTATTCAGTTCGTCTTCCTCACGTGAGCCGCAAATCAGCTACCTTTCACAGCTGGTAAGCCAAGGGGGTTGGCCTCTTTCCTCCAAGCCCCAATTAAGTATGTACTTCTAGCTCATCTTAATGTAGACTCTTGTGGTGATAATCATGTGCGTAGCTGAGCGTAACAGCTGCAGGAACTACATGGAGCCAGCTGTGCCAACCTGCCAGTGGGGAACCCCAACCGTTAGAGCACTGTTTACGCAACAGTGGGACGCCAAATAGGACAGAGATTTCATGCATTGCATTAGACATGTTTTAATATCTGAAGCTTTTTGTTACAGCCCAGAACACCCTTCATTCAGTCCAGCTGCCGTGAAGGCCAGGGCCCTTTTCTCCTGCTGCTGCTTGTGCTGCTATTGGCTGTGTGCAGGACAGCTTGCACAACGGGCCCTACCGGTGGTCTTGGCTCGCGCCTGTCCCTTAGCAGCGCGTGAACTTTAGTTCTATATCATCGTATATAGTTGTACAGCTTAATTTGACTGTCAAGTGACACATGTAAATGTACGGAAAGGCACAGGGCATGTAGGGCAGGACCGCACGTTCTACTACTGGGTCGTCAGCTGACGGCCCGTCTGAGACATAGCAACAGCCGTATAGGGCTGTCCTAACTGTTATATGCGCTTCTGTGCAAATTTCTTTCATACTCTCTCCTGCAGATGCAAACATGAGCTGGGGTTCCCTTGTCTCTCCCGCCTCAGGTTGTTGCTGAGCAATCATAGTATTGGAGAAGCGGTGGCTACAGTCTCTTCTCTTTCCACTGTCGCTGCAGCTTTCTCAGGTGCACTGGTCTGCAGCACCTGTTGTTGTGAGCGCCTTGGCAGCAACAGAAGCTGCGGCAGCCTCGACCAAAACGGCACCGACGTTGTTGCAAATCCGCCTATTTCTGCCTCAGGAGGGCCGTGCAACTTGAGTGTTGTATTATCTCGTCTTTTGCTGCCTTTATAGAGAGCTCAAAAGGAACGCGGACAGCCATTAGGGCGCGACACGGGGGGGAACCCCGATAGCCCCGTGCGCCCATGTCACCGCCTCAGCAGCATGAGCCGCAGCCGCAGGAACATCAGTCGAAGGAAGGGCAACAGCGGGAGAAAATTGTCGAAGATATCAGCCAGCACGCACCATCCAGGCTCCCTCCGGCCGTCGACGGTACGGCCGAGCCGGGAAGGCCAGCTCGATCCGGTTCTTGCGGGCCGGAGCCGCAGCAGCCAGAGCAGCAGGAACCTCAGCACGAACTGAAGCGGCAGCAGGGCGGGCGGGATGCACAAGAACTCCACAAGGGCGAAGGTCTACTTGCTGCGCCCCAACGACAAGAGGAAGAGGCAGCAGTGCTGCAGGTCCCCTACGTGCGGGTGCCCCCGCCCTCTGGAGGCGGTTCAGTTGTGGTAGATGTGGCGGTTCTGGGCAGCAGCATCTCCAGCACCCTCATCTGTGCGGCTCTGAGCCGCAGGGGCTTACACTGTCTGCTCTGCGAGCCCTCTTGGTCCTATGGGGGCCCCCATCGCAGCGTGCGCTTCGAGGAGCTGCTGAACTGGGTGCACGGCTGGACCTCTAACGGGGGCCCCCAGAGGCCCTCTTCGGGGCCAGATGATGAAGAGAGGCGACAAACCCGGAAGAAGGGGCTGCCGCCCTGCCCTTGCAGCTGCCACGACCTGGAGACGGAGCAGCTGGCTCCCAGTAGCTCGTGCGGCGTTGCCATTGAAGAAGCCCTAAGGGCAGAAAACGGGGGCCCTGCAGACGGCGTGTACGGGGCCCCCAGTGGCGAAGTTGCTCAGGAGGGCCCCCAAGGGGCTCCGTGTTCTCCTGTCGCTGCGAGGCCCTGGCTGGAGCCGCCACAGGGGGACTGGGGCAGCTCCTCCAGCTGCTCTCTAGGACTCGTGCGGCTGCTGCAGGCCACCTCCAGCAGCTGCAGTAGCAGCAAGAGGAGAGATATTCAGGGTCAGAGCCGTCTGCTGCGTGACGGGGAGGGCAAGCGACCCAGCCCAGACTGTGTAGTTCCGGGTGAGGCATCTTGGCCATTTGAGAGGAATGGGGAAGGCCCCCCAGGGGGGCCCTCTCCATTCCACTCAAATGGGCAAGGCCTCACAAGGGGTCCCCTCTGGGGCCCCCGTGAAGCCCCTCCTGAAGGCCCCTCCACGGGCATTCAGGAGGACCCATTTGAAAACCGATGGTATTCTTTTGGGCCCTTTTTGGAGCCCGCCGAGGCCCCCACGGGCGAGGAGGCCCTTGAGGAAGGAGAGGGGGAGACGGAAGGGGAAACAGAAACAGATGCTAGCAGCACTGACTCTGCCTCTACAGATGCCACGGCAGAGACAACTTACACAGCCACCACGAGCAGCACTACGGACACAATAGAGACGCATAGAACTGCCCGGCAAACGCCTAGACCCCCTCCATTTTTGCAGCCGGCGGCTTCTCCTGCAGCTTCGGCAGCAGCAGCCGCTACAGCACCTGCCGCTGTGCCGCCGGCTGCGGCGCCGCCTGCAGCATCACCTGCAGCAGGACCTCGCGCTGCAGCAGCAGCTGCTGGCGGAGCCGCAGCGGCGACGGGGCACTGGGGATCGGGACCCCTGAGTAGCCCAGTGCCGTCACTGCAGCGCGCCGTTGGAGATTCTCCTGCTGCAGAGACCCCGCAGCAGTCCCAGCAGTTGCCGCAGCAGCCGTTGCCTCCGCAGCCACAGCAGCAGTTACTGCAGCTGCAGCAAGGTTCAAACACGCACGTAGATCCCCTGACTGCAACGCTGCATCTGCAAAGGCTACCCGAGACGCCGCTGGCTGAAGCCGGCGCCGAGCGCAGCAGCAGCCCGCATGCCTCGCCTCTCTCGACAGGCTACGCAGCAGCAGATGGTCACTCGATGGAGCCACCTGAACCTGTGGAAGCAGCAGCAGCAACGGCAGAAACGGCGGATGCGGGTTTGACGGAGGCGGTGGAGGTTGCAGCAGCCGAAGCAGCGACTGCAGCGGCCCAAGCTGCGACTGCAGCCGCAGCAGCAGACGCAGCAGACGCAGCGGCAGCTGCTGGAGAGCCTCCTGGAAGCGTCGAGGCCCAAAGACTGCAGATGAGACACGAACTGATGACTGAGGGCCCCCGTTTCCTCATAGACCTGATGCCGAAGTGTATATACACCTCGAGCGACACTGTGGATGTGCTGCTCGAAAGCGGCGCCGCAAAGTATTTGGAGTTCAAGACATGTGATGCTTCTGTCCTTACGGCGGAGCTGCTGCTGCAGCAGCAGCAAGATGATGATGCGCCGCAGGCGCCGCTCGCTAATTCCCAGCAACAGCACGGGTGGCAGCAGCAGCAACAAAACGCGTCCGCGACCCCTGCTGCTTCGGAATTTGCAGGCGTGACTGCCTCCACAGCAGCAGAGTCTGCTGCTGCTGGAGTGCGGGCTCCCTCCGTTTCCCGGCAGTGGGTCGGAGGGGGTGATGTGTCCCTGGGGGGGCATTTGGGGTGCTTCTCTGCAAATGAAAAGATTGTCTTAGAGGCCACACCAATGAGTAAGGGCCAAATATTTCAGTCGCAGCTGCTTTCTCTTGGGGAGAAGCGAGTCCTGATGAGATTTGTTGCTGCTGCGGGCGCCCCTTCTCCCACCACCGTTAGTGCCCCCTTCGCATCTGCTGCACATTGGATGCCTGAAGGACAGCAGCACCCTGCGGCTGGAAGGTCACCTGGTGAGCTGTCCGGCAAGCCCCCCGTGGCGGCGCCTCCCGATGGAAAAGCAACTTTGCCAGCAGCAGATGGCGCTGCAGCATGTGCTGCACCAGCGATGAGCGAGGAAGGGGATTGCTGGGACTGCTATTTAGAGCAGCAGGGACTTAACTCTCACCTCCGGCGGCTGGTGACGTACGGAGTGTGCCTGTGTGACAAGCCGCTGCTCCCCACAGCCGCAGCACCCGCAGCAGCAGCTGCAGCAGGGACGTGCACGGGTGAGCACGTTAGCCGGTGGAGTGTTCGAGAGGGCCTGAACCGTTTGCAGCTGTTTGTTTCCGGTTGTGGGCTCTACGGCTGCAGAGGGGCGCCTTTGCTGTACCCCCTTTACGGATCAGGGGATCTGCCCCAGGCCTTCATACGCGCTGCTGCGCTCAGTGGGGCCCTGTGCATGCTGGGCGCCGCCGTGCAGCGCCTGCAGTTTATTTCGCCCCCCGCACAACCGCATGCTCAGCAGCAACAACAGCAGCAGCAGCAGCAGCAACAGCAGCTGGAGTTGCAGCGAGAGGTAGAGGGTGACAGCGATGAGGACCTCGAAAAGCTGGCCGAAGTACTGCAGCGCACCAGCAGCTGCATGGTGCTCCACTGCAGCAACGGAGAGAGAGTCGTTACGAAGCTGCTCCTTTACGAGAGTGGTTGCCTGCCGGCGCCTCAGGGGAAGCCGCTGCTTCTCAGGAAGCAAGCCCAAGCGTTCTATCACTCTGTCCCTTGCAGAAAGCCTCAGAAGCAGCAGCAGCAGCATCAACAGGGCAGCCAGCTCATAGTTAATGTGGATGCAGAAGAACGAAAAGGCACTGTAGAAGCAACAGTCGCTGGAGAAGCAACTGCAGGGGCAGAAGCAGCGCCCGCACCAGCAGTAGACGTAGCGGAGAGCCGAGCGACTGCAGCAGAGGCCCCATTAAAAGAAGCAGAAATCTCAACAACAGCCACAGCAGCAGCAGGAGCGGCAGCAACAGCAGCTGCTGGAGGCAACGGCTGTAAGCGAGAAGCGGGAGGCGGAGACACAGAAACAGCTCTGTCTTGCTGCCGGCTGCTGGCAGTTTGTACTGAGCCTGTTCTAGGCGGCCCTGGCTTTAGAATGAGTGTTGTTGTAACGCATGCACCGTGCGACGACAGGCTTTCTCCCGCCACTGCTGCTGGTTTAGGTACTGATGCTGATGGCAACGGCAGCCTGGACAGCGGCAGCAACAGCGGAAGGAGTGCTGAGGCAGAGTTGCCTGTGCATGTGATGCAGACAGATGCAGCAAGTGCTGTTGCTCCGAAAGGTTATTTCCTGCTGCACCTATCTCACGTGTTCTCTGGAGCGGTGCGGTGCTCCAGCGACGTGCTGCCGGAGCAGCAGCAGCAGCAGCGGCAGCAGCAGCAGCAACGGCAGCAGCAGCTTTCTCCTTCGGCAGTCACAGGCGGGACTGTCGCTTGTGGCTGTTGCAGCAACGGGGCGGGCCGTGGGAGGTGTGCAGGTGGTGGGAGCCAGGAGACTGCGTCGGGGCAGGGTGTATGTACAGCCTCTTGTGGCTGTGGGGCTGACGTGCATTGCTGCGCCGTGCTGCTGCGGGTGCTCAAGGGCCTCCTGCGCTCGGCGGGGGGCCTCCGGACCTGTTATTTCCTGTGCGCATTTCGATACAACCAACACGTTGCAACAGCTGCAGCAGCAGCAGCAGCAGCAGCGATGCCGCTGCAGCTCCCTGCCTCATTTTCAGAGCAGAAGCGGAAGCAACAGCAGCAGCAGGAGCCGAACTCTCACGCTACCGAAAAGCCGGTGGGGGCCGCGGAGCACAAGGCTGCAGAAGCGGCTTCGGTAAACTCAGTTGAGTCCACAGCTGTGCCGACAGCCGCTGCAGGCGAAGCGGCAACAGTAGAGTGTGTGGAACAAGTGTGTGCCGAGAAAGAGGACCCTGCGCTGCTCCTGCTGTCTGCGGTCAACAAGAGGGACCGCAGCGAGGCCGTATTGTCCGCAGAGACGGTACCATGTGGGGTGCTGTCTTTACCAGATGCATGTGCTTCCCCATGTTTCCCGCTGTTGCAAGAGTGTGAGGGGGCGCGCCTCATGGTTCAAGCACTTCTGCGGGAAGAGCTGCAAGCTCAGCAGCTAGTGGGCAAGGGCCCTCAGCAGGAGCCAGGCGATAAAGATGCGGAGGAGCAGCACCTAGACTCTACATATGAACAGCTGACGGATCTCATAGAATCATCGCAGCAAGCTTCCGCAGCAGCAGCAGCTACAACTCCACTATCAACATGAACGCAGTGCTGCCAGAAGGCGCTGGATATTGTACCTGGACCATGCAATTAGCTCATCGTGAAGATTCCTCCGCCGTCGCAGTGGCTCAACAACAGTCTAGGCAGAGAGGCCTCCTAAGCAGGCCCCCTGCTAGGCACATGGGTGAGGGGGCTCCCTAAGAGGCCTCTTTACCATGTAGGTGCTTTAAGCGGCTCCTTTCGGGGCCTGGAGACATTTTCAAAGTGCTGTGATGAAGTGTGCGACCACCCCACAGCAGACCCGAAACTGTGAGGAGCCCAGAAGGGCTCGCCTAGGAAACGCTGTTACCTTTTATGCGTATTTATACACATTTTTGGATTCGCATATTTATGCGTATATCCAAATACGTCGATAGATGCACACCCGTCCTCCCTGGCGCTGATATTTATTTATGTGTAGACCACGTGCTTGTCTGTAAGCGGACCTGGCAACGGCCGCCCGTTTGTTTCCTTGACAACACGGACTGCCAGGGTGGCTGGCTGCAGCAGGCTTCTGCAGCCCAGCAGCCCTCCCACAAAATGCTAACGGGGGGGACGGCCGCTGCAGCTAGTTGCTGCTGCGGCCGGTTGTCGCGCGGTGGCTAGCTGAACTCTTCGGTTTCGAAGAAGCGAAGGAAACAAACAAACAGGTGGCCGTGGTTAGGTGCATCTAGAGACCTAGTAGTTGTCATATATGGCAGAGCGGCAGTACGCAGACACTATTGTCTGGCTAGCCGTGGCAAGCTAACCACAGAGACTCCAGACGCGCGTAGGAGCGGCAGCGAACACGTTGACTGCGGAGGCACAGGCTTCCTCAAGTACAGCATGCACCTAAGCTTCCAGTTCTGTTCCTGGTCTTGTGGGGCCCTAGAGACCGTGCTGGCGTCTGCTGGCAAAGCTTCTGCCCCCAGCTGGTTCGGCCTCACTTCATAACATTTCGGCTGCAACAAAGTCGTTTCTTGATTGGTCACAAATAATGCACAAGCTGCTTGGAAGAAACCACAGGAGAGCTTTCAAACGAGGCGCCAGCGAGCCAGCGGGGCCCCGATAGCGGGGACGCCATTCTTCAGCTACCACTACAGGCTCTCTAGGGCCTATCCAAAAACATAATTTGATACTGCTGAGCTAGCGTATTGACATTTATCCCTGTCGTGGAGCCCCGTGCCTGCTCTGCATATTCTTTGGCTGGGCCCCGAGGCTTCCACAACCGCGGCTCCATGCTCTTTCAGAAGCACCTGAGAAGCAGGCTGGTGCCTGGAGCACCGGTATAAAGATAGCACTGTTTGAAGATATATAGGACAGGAGCTGTCCCTGGTACCTGCAAGGGCAGGGCAGGAAGAGGAGCTAGCCTGCGGTGAGGCGCGCAGTGTCTTCTTCTTCGTCTCGCATGCAGGCCTTCGTGGAGAGCTCCCAATCCAGTGGGGGCACCACACAAGCGCCTGAGGGCTCTTCAGACGCCGGTGTCTACCCTTTGCCTGAGGTCCCTCTGAATTTTCAAGTGACAGGCAGAAGTCAACTTCTTGAGGTACCAAACGTAGCAATAGCGGTGGTAGAGATCCCGGGGAAGGCCAAGAGGCGGTACGCCACAGTACACTTGCTGCTGCGGCGGTTGCTGCCACTTTGCTTGATGCTGCTCCAGGGTTGTTTCCCCGCAGCGCTCTACGCCTGCTGCCTGTGATCCTGCAGCTACACCTCGAGTTGTTGAAGCGGTTATGTTTGCCGCACTCCTGCTGTTGCTGCTGCTGCTGTTGCTGCTGCTACAGTCAGATGCCGGCTTCGCTATTTCTTCTTGGCTCGCTGCTGCAGATCAACAGTGATTCGCATACTGGGGGGATCCGAGGCTGCTTCCCGAGGAGTGGCGTGCGGGGACCGTGGCGAACCCCTAATACTGAGGCTAGGGTGTAGTAGCAGCAGCAACAGCAGCAGCAGCAGCAGCAGATGGGGTCAGATACCTGCTTGTCGGCAAAGCGCAGCAGGCATTCTGGTGCGCCGGAGGATCCGGAAGTCAGGCGCTGTAGAATTTGAGACCGTGGGCAGAGTGATACAGCGCCACGTTTTCACCGGTAGGACGAACTGCTGCTGTTCCTGCAGTTGGCGCTAACGGTGCTGCTGGCATTGCAGCTGCCCCTAGAGAAAGAGCTACCTGCGGCACGTCCAGTACCACGGATACATCGCCACAGCAGCTGCTGCTGCAGCTGCTGCAGTGGCCGCTGCAGCGGCTGATGTCAGTGTGACTACTGCTTCTGCGCTGCATGCAGGCCTCGCCGACTTCTACTTCGTGCCGCCGCCCGGTCATCGCGGCGAAGAGCCTTTTGAGGCTCAAGTGGTGGCAGAGGCGCAGCGCGCATGCAGCGGCAACATAAACAATACGCAGGAGCCCTCATACATACCGCCTCCCTTCTTCTGCAAAGGCCAGGCACCATTTCCATACAAAGTTGAGGCTCCTCCGGCCCCTATATTTGCTACGGAAGCCCCACCAGAGTCGCCTACCGAGCAGCAGCAGCAGCAACACCAACAGCAAGACCGCCAGCGGTTACAGCAGCAGCGAGACCAGCTGCTGCTGCAGCCGGAAGAACAGGTTGACGTCGAAGAGCAGCAGCAGCAGAAAGAGTCTGTTCACGAGCTGCCTTCCCCGACACATGCCAGCAGAAGCGTTTCTGGAACACAACCCGCGACGGCAGATGCAGAAATAGAAAGCGCAGCGCAAACAGAAGAGGATGAAGCAACAGCAGGAGGAACAGCCGAAGCAGCACAAGCAAGGCTGCTAGCAGCACCGGCATCAGCAAGATCAGCAGCAGAAACGGAGACAAATGAAGAAGCCAGCACCCCAAGCATACTGGAGGGTGACAAAATTACCCTCGGCGCTGCTGCAAAGGCAGCAGCTGCAAGAGCAGCGGGGACTAGAGGACATCGAGCACCCCGTTTTGTTCCTTCGCTACCAGCAGCAGCAGCAGCAGCAACCGCAACAAAAGCTGCAGAAACAGCAGAAGCAGCAGCAGCAACAACAGGGAAACTCACGGAGCAAGTACCCCAATCATTGGCTGCTGCACCGCTAGACGCAGTTGACCCCGCACGAAGTGGACGCCAAGATGGTGAGGATGCGGCTGCCATTGCTGGTGCTGCTGCTGCTGCAGAACGGGGAAGCGCAGAAGCAGCAGCACCAAGTTCTTCAGAGTCAGCACGGGAATTGGCGTCAGACGCGGCCACCTTTGCCAAGAGCTCCCAGGCAGGCCCATCAACAGCAACTGGGAGCAACAACAGCAGCAGCAACAAAGACGACAGCACCGCATTCAACGCTGTCGGCCGCATAGGCGATGAACAGCTCCCCGTGGCGCCCCCTCCCGCAGCAGCTAGGGCCTTTGCAGGTGTGCTTCTGGCAGGCATGTGGTGCGGTGGCTGCTGCTGTTCAAACAGCGTTGCTGTTGTTGTGGCTGTTAGTTTTTCTACTGCTGCTGGTGCTACCATCATTGTAAGTGCTATGGCTGCAGTTGTTTATGCTGTTGTTGATGGTGCATTTGCTGCTGTACTGCTGCGGCGGATTTCTGTTGGTCCCGTGGCCGATGCTGCTGCCACTGCGGCTGCTGCAAGCGGTGTTGTTCTTGCTGCAGCGATCGGCTCAGCAGGCTGCTGGCAGTGCAATCATTGCCTTCACCCTAGTCTCGTGGATCGTGAGATCCACACTGTTCTTGTTCTGCAGCTGCTACTTGTGCTCCAGCCGCTGCTGCTATATGCTGCGCAGTAAAGCTTGTTCATGTTGCTGCTCTGCAGACCGCAGCTTGCTGCTGGCCCTCGAAGAACTGCTGCAGAAACAGCCAGTATGGCTTCGGCCTTCTTTAGATGCACATCTGCCACCCACATACACGGCGTGGAGAAAGAAACCTGCCTATGCCAAGACGTGCTTCTTATTTGCAGGTACCTGCTGGAGCTAACACTGCTGCAGGAGCTTCTGATGTCGCTGGTGCTGGTGTTGTTTCTGCTGCTACAGTTGCTTTTTGCTGTTAAGTGAGGGGCTACAGAAGCTGTTGGTGCTGCGGTGTTGAGGTTGCAATTGCTTGTTTTTGTGCACGATGCGCAAAGTGTGAGCGCCTGGAATCCAAATAGAGGGATGCAGGTCCAGTGGGAATAGTTGGTCTAGAAGCACTGGAAAATGGCCATGATGTAGCAACAGCGATAAAGTGCTTATCTGTTATTTGGCGTGGATCGTGCTCTGTTGCGGTTGCACTTATGGGGACCTGCTAAATACTCAGCGACAACGCATGCAGCAGTAGCAGCAATAGCCGCATCAATAAATGCCCCAGAAAAACTGTATCCCTATGATATATCTTGCTTGTCAGATGGGCCTTTCCGTGGCTGTCTCTGCCGGCTCGGCTATGATCCTCGAAAAGACCCTGAGAGCCGCCACTACCAGGTGAAGCCTAGGCCCAAAATCCCAGGTTCTAGACCCTGAACCCAAAGCGTTTCCCTAAGCACTTGCCTAGTTGTTTAGTTCTGAACGTTATGGTCTGATTTTGTAGGTGTAGGCCGTTGAAGCTAGTTTGTTGGCAGATATCCAAACACCAGGCAGGCACCAGACTTCAAGCCCAGGGCTGGCGATTGTGGAAAAATTTTTGTACTTTTCAAGCATTTTGTATGCTGCTTGCTCATATGCCACAGACAATTGACTTCAGAGACCCTTTTTTCCGTTCCACCAACTGGAAAGCTGCCGCTGCAGGAGGGGGCCCTCCGCCGAGCTCGGGCCAGCAGCAGCGAGGTGAGAGCGGCAATGGCGATTCACAAGGTCCTTACGGATGTTCTGCTCAACATTGCCGCATGCAGCACTGCCGCAGTTGGTGACATTGAAAGCAACATCAGCGAGGGTAGTACTAACTGCAAGAGCCACCACATCAGCGGTATCACTTGCTGCAGCTACGGGGGCAACAGCACCCACAGAGCTGCAGCTGCCTCGTTGCGTATCGTTATCTAATGTGTGTACTGCCACGTGTCCTGCAGAGGATGCATTTTTAG